ATAATATAAAAAAACTAATTCATTATATAAAATATTACTCCTATAAAATTCATCATTTTTACCCCATCATTTTGTGATTCAGACAGAAGTAGCTCCTTAATGGTAGATAAAACATCCTTTGCTTGATTGAAGTCAGACATCTTCATTCACAAAAGAAATAAAATCTTTGGTTGTTCAGAAAGAGAATCAGATATCAAGAGAGGAGAGGTTTGATCCAAATTTTAGAGAGAGTAGGTTAGGGAAAAAGGAGTTACACAGAAATATAAGAGGACTAAGAGGAGAGAAACAGGGAATCACACCTTGACACTTGTCCATTCCATTTTGGCAATAATGTAACTACATTGTCATATAAGATTGTAAATTTATAATTATAATATGTCATTAAATAAATAGATGAACATAATATCATAAGTGAACCAAAATACAAAAAACTAATCATATAATAAAATATCTTAATTTTAAATTCATAATATCACATAATATTGTAACTATATCATTTTCAATTCCATTTCAAACATATATATGGTAATGTGGCACAAGCATGACATCAGTCTTTGCCATCCTAACCAAAAAACAGCAAATCCTCAATTGATAACAAATGCTCATAACAAATCTTTAGTGTCATGAGTAGATATTTCACTGGCTAGCCTACCAAAATAAGAAATGTACAAACTGGCAAGCATTCAGAATCAACAAAACTGCTGTCATGTATCGTGAGAATCATGTTCTAAAAATTTTAGGTTAAAATACCAATTTGATCCCTCAACTTTCAAATTTATACAAAATTATCCTTAAACTTTAGAAAATATCAAAATTATCCTTAAACTTTGATTTTTAGTACAAAAATAGTCCTTTCATTAATGAAAGTGCTACATGATGTGTTATCTTATTGCAAAATCTGCTCTTTTTTTAAAATATATATGATGTATAAAATTAAATGGTCATATTTTACCAACATGGCATCAAATTTCACTGACTAAGTTAGTTTTGATGTGTAAGTGAAAATATGCAATGATAATAAATATATGACTATTTAACTTTATACATTATTAATATTTTAAAAAAGAATTGATTTTGTGACAAAATAATGAGTTACATGGCACTATTCTTAACAAAAAAAAAAACTATTTTAATACTAAAAATTAAAGTTCAAAGATAATTTTGGTACTTTTTGAAGTTTAAAGATAATTTTAATACAAATTTGAAAGTTAGAGAACTAAATTAGTATTTTAATCAAAATTTTATGTGGGCCTTTTTTAGTGGGTGAAATTAGAGGAGATTGTTGACTAGATCAAAATTTCATTTTGGTCTTTCTACTTTAATAAAAAGATTTTTTTAGTCCTTCTACTTAAAAGAACCTCATTTTAGTCTTTGAAATTTATTATTTAGCTCATTCTCCACCTCTCTATTATCTTTTGTACATGTAACACGTTAAATGATAAAAATTCTAAAATAGAAGAACTAAAAAAAGACTAAAAAAGCTCATTTTGGTCCCTCTACTTTAAAAAAAACCTATTTTTAGTTCTTCTACTTTAAAATTTTCATTATTTAACGTCTTATGTATGTAAAAATATAACAAATTAACTAAAAAGAGGTCCAAATAGTAAAGTTTAGGGACTAAAAAGGGATTTCTTAAGTATAGGGACTAAAAAGGAACTTTTTATTAAAGTAAAGGGAGTAAAATGGGGTTTTAACCTTGACTATGCAATAAAATACATAAACTTTACCAAATATGGTAGCTCTTTTAAGTAGAGAAAATGTGTAAATAAATATGTTAATTTTGTATTTTTTTCTACTTAAGGATATTAACTTTATAATTTTTAAATAAGGATATCAATTTTTAACTTTTTTTATCTAAGGTTGTAAACTTTCAACATTTTCTATTTAAAAATGTTAATTTTTAATTTTTTCTATTTAAGAATTAATTGGATAGTGATGTTGAAATAGCAAACAAAATATTTTAAAAAGTTTAACATTCTTAAATAAAAAGGTTAAAAATTAATATTCTTAAATAAAAAGGTTAAAAATTAATATTCTTAAATTAAAAAAAAAAGAAGAAAAATTAATGTCCTTATTTAGAAATTAATAAAGTCAACATCATTAAATAAAAAAGTAAAATTAACATTCTTATTTGCATATTTTCTTCTTTTAAATAGGTGAAAAAGAAAAGCTTTTTCTAGATTTAAATTACCAAAAAAAAAAAGAAAATTAAGCCATCTAGGCATTGAATATACCTAGACATCTAATTCCAACCATAACTTAAGTGACCCCAAATTATATCTCACATCATATAGTTTTGATTAAACGTTCTAATATTTTTAACATCATAACATCTTAATTTTCCATATCCTCTTTAAATTATATGACTGCAGAAAAAGGAGGGTATGTCTCCAACAGGTATTGTACTGTTATTGTCACAGGAAGAAGGAACAAAAATTAATCTTTTCCACTGTTATATACAGCAATATTCCTTAGGCATTTCTGGCATTAGTATTATGTGATGGGTACGCAATACAACTCAAGAAGAACAAGAAAGCATGCAAACCCCTGGGCGGTAAGCCCAAGCTGGAGGCAAGCGAGCATATTTTTCCATTCCTGGTTGCTCATCAAATGGCCTTTCCATTATTTTAAGCATCCTTCGAACCTCTCCGAAATCTCCAAGTTCAGCTGCATCAATGGCACTCTGACAAAGGTAGTTCCTGAGGACATATTTAGGGTTTACTGAATCCATAGCAACCTTCCTTTGCTCATCTGAGATGCCACCAGCAACAAGCTGCAGAAGGAAGGAAGCCTATGAGATTTCTCATCCTTGAAAAGTCAACAATCATTTTACATTTATAAAAATTTTCAAGTGAGAATAAACTGAAACAGCACATCAAGATTAATTGTTAAGCACATCAAATTAAATGAGACCTAAGGTTTACTCATCAAACTGTTACAAGCATCTTGTTTTCAACATCTTGCAAACCATCCATAAAAAGATGCTTCAGCAACCAGGTTATTTCAATACTACCCAAGAGTGAAAACGTTGACAGAAGCAAAATGAAGCAGTAAGGCTTACATACCTCCTGTATGTAGGATTGCACCCAACTGATCCATGCCTCCTTACGCTCCTTGCCAATATCCAGCAGAACAGCCTTCAGTGGAACCAACAACTCGTCTTCTGAAATGCTGGGATCTGCTTTGATATTGGAAAGTGAACGAAAAAAATTTGTGTAGTCAACTTTATCAACAGCCATATTATTGAGAAGTTTACTGATCAGCTGCTTATTATACTTTGGGAGGCCAAGTTTTCTTGTCATTATAGCTTGATAATCATCCATAAATTTTGTTCCATACCTGTAACAAGAATGATGTGATTAAAGGAGCCTTAATTTCAAATTGGAAGAACTAACAAAGGTATCAAGATTACACATACCTTTCCATAGCATAATTAGCTTCTTTATCATTTATCAACTGGGCAGTGGACAAGGTTGTAGCAAACTGTGCAACATTCCATAAGCCGATATCAGGCTGATTTGCAAAACAGTATCTTCTCCCTGGAAGATCTGTTGTATTTGGTGTATAACTAGGGTCAAAAGCATCTAGAAATCCAAAAGGACCATAATCAATGGTGAGACCCAAAATGCTCATGTTGTCAGTGTTCAGAACACCATGAGTAAAACCAACTCCCTGCCAGCTTGCAATCAAAGAAGCAGTTCGTTCTGCAATCTCCACTGCCCATGCTGAATAAACCCCAAAACAAATCAAAAGGAGGGAAACATTTTTAGAGCAGTTTCCAAGAAAGTGTTCTGTTTGTAAACCATCAAATAATGATACTCTATAATGTTCAAGTATGCAAATCCAAGTCAAGTATGGAGAATTGGAGAACAAAAATAAAAATTATGCAACATCTAAGCTCCCTAATCCAGTTTCAAGAATGCAAAATTCAAGAAGAAAAATCAAGACAACAGCAAAAGTATTTTGTCGCCTATTTGTTCAGGACCAAGAACCATACGTGGTATTTTTTTTCTCATTTCCAAGGAAATTTAGCGTCAAAGAGTGAGAAATGCCCATCTCCATCACTCTCCAGCCAACACTCAGGACACAATCCTATGTGTATGTTAGCTGCTTAGATGTTCGGCATGGTATATGTTATCTCTATATATTTGTGACAAATTCCTAGTGAACAGTGTAAAACTTGTAGCCCAATAGGCCATATCTATGGCCATATGAAGTCATTTTTTGGGCCATTGGAAAAGGAAAAAAGGATTCAGGACAAATAACTGATAATAGAATGTAGAAAACCTGATCTATGCATGCAGACCTTAGGGGAAGAAAAGGGAGAGTGGTGAAGAAAGGCCTACTTCACTATACCACCGATTTTCTATATCTCTATACAAAGTGCATATGCCACACAACCATCTTCCCAATACATTTGTCATCTATGCCTACACAAAGAAGACATCATGATGAATCCAATATATGTACCTGCATACTTATTTGAGGTTAGATCCACAACTGAATGATCCTGATTGCCAGTGCTAAAAGACAAACTCTCACTTCTACTCATATTCTCAAGATGAGGAAAGTGATGTCTAATGGCATAATCTGCTAAGGTATGAACAATCTCAAGGTCCTCTTTTCCTCTTGAAGCATGTATTTGGATAGAACCAAAGCGCAGAAAGGACTGTGCAACTCTACAAACAATTGCACCTGGCTCATCCTTTGGATTGCCACTGCAATGGAAGATAAAAAATTTAAATTAAAGACCAATCCCCTCGTTCTAAAACCTTGGGAATAGAATGGTTGAAATGCTGGAGATTCTTCCTTGTAACTCAAAAAGTTTTAAAGAGTATTGAGATCTCCAACACCTAGAGTGAATCAAAATGTTTTAAGCGGAGAACTAGGATAAAAGTGCCAGTCTAGATGCCTTTATCATAATTGAATTCCTGAAAAACTTACTCGTAAAACATGTCTCGAGTCACACATTTTCCTGTTGTCACAAGACAAAGGGCACGGGTAGTTGGGATTCCTAGAAAGTGCATTGCTTCGCTGCAAAGGAATTCCCTGATGCTACTACGCAGCACGGCAAGACCATCTGCAAATCGACTATAAGGGGTCTTCCCAGCACCTTTAAGCTGCAATTCCCACCTTTCAGACTTAGAGTTCAGAATCTCCCCAAGAGTTATTGCACGGCCATCACCCAACTGACCAGCCCACATTCCAAATTGATGTCCTCCATAGCACTGGGCATAAGGCATCCTGCAAGCAAGAGTATTAATGAAGAAGAAGCATAACTAAGAAAGAACACAGCACTGATCCATAAACAAACTTGAGAAAGAATACTTACGCTCCCACCAAAGGAGAAGACCCAGAAAATAAAAGGGGGAAATCTGGCCTTTCAAATCTGTAATTCAGAAAGTGAGTTCTATTGAGTCCCAGCTCCTAATTGGAAGAAACAAATGTAGGTAAAAAATAAATAAATAAATAAATCCAGCGTATGCTGCTTGCTTTCTCCACAAAACAAAGCTTCCAGTACAATACTCGTAATCGTTTAAGCATGACAAATGAACTATAGCTAAAAGAGATTGAATGGACAACCACTAGAATTCATTCTCCCCCACCTCGCTTTAGTTTGTCTTTATCAAAATTGCGGCAGCGTTGAAAAGGAAGTGGAGGTAAAAGCAAAACTTACTCTTTATGATCCAAATCAAGAAATTCCGCAACTAACTCGGACCATGAAACAAGCTGAGGATTCTCCACTTCAGCTGATGGCAAAACTTTGGTATAACACGCATGAAATACCTACATGTTATGATGAAAATCACAGAAACAAAGACTCATCCTTTTAATTCCTCCCTCATAACAATGAGTAAAGATCAAATTTTTATTTAAATAAAAAAGGAAAGCAATGTTCTTATCACGAAGAAAATCGGAGAGCTGGAAATAAAACCTGACGAGGAATATTATCGCTTTGGGGATCACCAGGCAGCTCTCTAACAAAGGAGTGGTCCCAGTTCAGATCTTCAAGCTTCAATTTCACATTTTCCCTGTCGCCGTCGTTACTCCGATCAGCTTCCAAGCTCTGATTCTTGAAATCGTTCGTCACTGACTCCAGTGACGCCGTGGTGACCGGTGAGGTAGAGTCCATGTTAAAGCTGTCGTCGGTGCTGATGCAGCATGCAAGGGAGGCGCCGGAAGGAAAGAAGGATGAGGAAAGGATCGGAAACTGAGAGCAGGAGAGAGATAGGAGCGAGGTTTAGGAGGAGAGCGGAGGCAGAGGGAAGTGAGAAAAGGGGGACGGGAAGAACACGACAATGAGAAGAAGAGCCGCGGTGATTTTGGAGAGAAATGAAAATCCATTTTCTTTTCTTTTCTTTTCTTTTTTTTTTCACTTTGGTTGATTTTGAGATATTTGGTGCTTTTCGGGTTCGGTATACGTTTTGTCGGTCAAGTATATTATTTTTTAAACAGATTTAAAAGATAAAAGAAGATTTCGTATGAATAATGCGACGAAAGGATGAATTTCATGAAATTAAAATTTAAAATTAATGATATAATATAAATTATATTATTTTAAATATTAAAAAATAAATTTTATTTTATATAATTT